GAATCAGACGTGTTTCTTAAGCAAACTCAAATTGCCGAATGTTGTCGGTATAGAACTGTTATCAGTCTAATTGCTTTCTCTATTTTCCTCTGTTTAGAATCGTGTTTGCATGAATAAACGAAGAATTTAGAGTAGACAGCAAAGTCCCAAGTCCATTTAAGCCAAGGTTCCGAAAATTTATGACGGGATCATTCCGATTGCGAATAGGTATCACTTCGGTGGTGGGGATCATTTCGGTTGTGATCGGGGGTCATTTCGGTGGCGGAGATCATTTGGATGGTGGGGATCATTTCGGTGGCGGTACAGTTCGGCCGAATGGGCTATTGACTCAGAGGCCATGAGGGCGACAGGAATAATAGTTTTAGTAGAATTCAACTAGTTGGTCAAAAATATCGAAAATAAAAAAAGTTTAGCTAGTTAAAGCTGGACTTTAATCCTTTTTTGTCACCAAAAAGCGGGCGCTTTTGCTACTAGTGGGCTATAACATATAGTCCAGTAGTAGCTCAACCAATCAGAGCGCAGCATTGATAATAGACCACTAGTTGGATTTTACTAAAGAAGCTTACAGAAAGTGTCCATATTAACGGAGTATCCGTATTAAGTGGGTTGAAGTCAGAGAAAATATAAGGGCATTCTTTCCCAGGCACAAAGCAAATTGTCCTTAATCTTGCAGCGTCCGTACTAAGCGGGTGTCCGCAAAGCGGGGTTTTACTTTACTGAACTGTACTGAGTTTTTTATTCAATAAATTATTTAAATTAACCATTGGGTTTTGTGACTGTCGGAGCGTGCTTGAAGCAGCAAGATAATGAAACTCGCACGGCATGTTTAAATATGACTGCAGGAGCTTGCAGTTAAGGTGGCATTACGGTTGTTTTTTTGGGAGAATAGATGTTGTTTTGGGAAGGAATAAACTAGGGTAGAAAAGATATGCACATAAACCAGTTAAACCAGTTAGTCAACTTATAGGATCAGAGACACCTTGTTGTGGTGGTGGACTATCTGGTTACTGTCTACTAATTATTCACTTCATATTTTAATTTTCAACAACCCTCAAATCCAATATTTTCCAATTATTCTCAAATCTGAAAAATCCCCCCCTTAATTGTTGAAAATTAAAGGCATTCGAAAAATCATCCAAAATTCCCGAAAAATTATTAGTGTGGAAATCAACGAAGAATAATGCTTTTAACCAGACTGCCCCTTCAAATAGCCCCATTTAGCGCTATTTTAATGCTTTATCTAATGCCCTTCAACTAGAAAGAGCTCAAACACTGTACTATGTAACTACAAGCATAGTTCCCTATCGCCACGTTAGATACGAGAGAGAAACTGGCACGAGTTAACTCTCCCAAAGACTTGTGGGACTGTTGCAAAGGAATTAGAAAAAAAAATCAATAGAAGGTTTTAATAAGTAGTTTCTTAGAAATCGATTTTGAGATAAATATTAGCGATAAAAAATCACGACGTTTCGACCTCTCCGAGGTCATTTTCAAGTGTATAAAAGTTCTCTAAATTAGCATAAATAAGTTAAAAACAAGTTATAATAGATAAAAATGTGGTGAACGCTAAAATGTGGGTTTGTTTAACCGACGCTTAACAAACAGTACGATTCAATTCGCGCCAAATTATTTGTTTAGAGTAGTTCTTGTTAACATTGTTTTATTTCCATTGTTTTTTGACTTTATAAATATTTTTAAGCACTTTTTACATTTTTACATATTTTATCACATTTTAGCGTTCACCACATTTTTATCTATTATAACTTGTTTTAAACTTATTTATGCTAATTTAGAGAACTTTTATACACTTGAAAATGACCTCGGAGAGGTCGAAACGTCGTGATTTTTTATCGCTAATATTTATCTCAAGAAAGTTTTAAATCAAAGTTAACTGCGAACCTCTAACCGCGGTTAGCGGTTACCCGTTTGCGGTTCGACGTTTAAACATATTTCGATTTAGATTGGCAGTGGATTAGATTCTGGCCGCCATATTTTTAAATCAGCAGCCATGAATGGCACTTGTTTTCAAGATCCAATAGAATTTATCAAATTTAGCATTTCGCCCGAATTTGTACCTCTGTTAATGGATTAAGACTTGTTCCACAAGATGTTTGTATCATTACGTGGGATAAAACAAGAATTATACGCTAAAAGCTTTCAGGTAAATGACATACGTGAAAACCTACCTCCTCACGTTGAAAACACATGTAGTAAATCTCAAACGCGACGCGAAAGACTTGTCACGTGACGTCCAGCAGTTAGAGGTTCGCAGTAAACTCGGATCTAAAACTCTCTAATAACTAACTTGCATATTCCTGGTAATGATCCTGGAAAGAATTGTGAGACACATTTCGGTTCCATTTCCCTTGTAATTCTTTAAGTGGCAAATTGCTTAAAAGAGAATTTAAGCTATAAATACACAGCTCTCTGTGGGGTTCTCTGGGTTTTTATTACCTAGACCACCGCGCGATACCCTCAGGGAAGGAGGGATGGGACAAGAAAAGCTTACAATCGTGTTCAACGCATCAGCTGGCTAGGATCGCATAATGACTCACACCTGACAGCAGTCTGCATATATACATGGGCTTAGCGCTGAACTTCCGTCACATATATTTTAATCCTGATAACCAGGCTTATCACTCACCACATATACGGCAAACATCAGATTCAAGTTGAGAATTTCCGAAAATAGAAAATGAGCAGATAAAAACAGCTCAGAAAATTCATATGCATAAAAAATTGCGTGAAATTACTTATTTATGTGTAGAAGTAATGAACAGTAGGTGACAAGCAAAGCGGAAACTTGGTCACGTGGTACACATTCGCTTTTGCCGTTTGACGTAAACCTGCTGCTTAGCCTCTCTAAAAACGGACCGTACAAAAGATGAAAGGTACGCCGGTGCAGGGATATAGTTTGCTCATGGGGAAGAACAAAACTTCATTCTTTTTATTCATTTTGTATTTTTTTTTTACAGGGACGACCGTAAGTTGGCTTTTGGTGTAGACTCGCGCCTTGAAACTGGCAACTCAGTTTAAGACGGCAGCTGATGTCACAACTGAAAGCTGTAAAATAGAGTTTAAAGAATATCATGACATTATACGCCGACTCAAAACAAGATGAAACTAGGATCTACTCTTGCAAAAAGCGTGGTTTCATTATCAAAGAAAGCTAACCGTCACCTTTTACTGTGGATGGGCATTATTTTATCCGGGTGGGTCTTCTGCTACATTATCTACTACATCGTTGACCCTAACAGGATAAAAAAAAACAGACGTGCAATAAATTCTAACGTAGGGCTACCTGAACCTTTGAAACTGTCTGCAAATTATATCGGACAAGAATCTGTTCCACACCGGTCATATCTGATAACACGAACTCGTTGCACTCAAAGTGTATTCCTTTTGATTGTAGTATTTACTGCCCCTGGTAATATGGACAGAAGAACATTAATTCGGAGGACGTGGGGGACCGATCCATCAGTCTCACCAAGCTGGAAGACGGTGTTTCTTCTCGGTCAAGCCGCAAACAACAGGACCCAAAATAAATACTTAGAAGCTGAAAGAGCAACTTACAAGGATATCATTCGAGGATCTCAAAATGAACATTACTACAACTTAACATTAAAGACACAGATGGGTCTAGAGTGGGCGGCAAAATACTGTGATTTTCAATTCCTGCTCAAGACAGATGATGATGTCTTCATCAATCCTTTTAACCTGGTGGAATATCTGCAGAAACCCGATACACGTCAGAGAAACCTTTACATGGGACGTTGTCACTACCGTTCTGTGGTACCTCGGTCGGGAAAGAATGGAGTATCCTTGGAGAAATACGATAAAAGCCTTTATCCGCCGTTCTGCAACGGACCAGCGTATGTGTTATCATCTGATCTGGTCTTAAAGTTGGTAGAATTACTCGACGTCAAAAAGACCTTTCAAAATGAAGATGTTTATGTAGGAATATTGATAGAGAAGATAGGAGGACCTGTTCCTCTGCACCATCCAGGGTTTCGAATTAGATCGTGTGAACATTTTGAAGGAACTTTTTCCGTTCATGGAGGATTGAACTATTACTGTAGAAAGAAACTATTTGACGAGGCAGTGAAAGAGAGAATGAAAAACCGAACTGGCAAAGCTTCACAGTCATACGACACAGCCATATAATGAGAAAAAACAAGTGAAGCATTTAAACGCATCGATGTTATTGTAATACTTGTACTATTCAGTTTCTATCATTTACATCAGGGCCACTTACACGCGAAAAAAAAAATTAAGCAATAAAAATAAGACAAGTCCTAAATAAGACCTAAACTGTAATATTTATACGAGCATGTTTTACCTAGAATGGATTTTTGGTGGGCGATCCCGCACTTATTTGAAAGATTGTTTTTGATTAGCTGGGAAAACGAGATTAAAGGGGACCAGTGAAATAAAAGGTTTAGAACGATGCAAGTCTGCTCTAAATGGCTCACGTCATGTTCGCCTCTTATTTCTGTTCCTGGACTCGTTTTAATGTGAATGTCGCCCGTAGCAACGGCAATTCAACATGGCGCGCGTTTCAAAGTTACGGGGTGTCGGTGTCATATTGTGATTTACTGCAGAGGCGTGATTGATGAGGATGAGGGAGTCTTTGCTACTAACAATTACTATTTTTATAAACTAAACAAGTGAGCAGCACTCTACAAACCGTCGCTGTAAAAAACTGCCCCTGTCCCCTTTCGTAAATCCGGCCAAACTCTTCAGTGTTTACGAACATCATTATTTTAAGTAATAAGTTATGGTTTAAAAGCAGGCGTTAAATGTTTCAAAGTGAAACGCCCTGAAAACGTCTACGTTAGTTAGAAGAAACGCGTAGGAGAATAAACAAGTTTTACGGCGACAGTTTGCATAGTGTTGCTCCCTAGTTTACATTAAGAAATAAAACAATAAAAAATAATTTAAACAACAACAAAAAAAAAATAACTAGAAAAATTACAAAATCAACAAAAAGTTAAAAATTAAAAATTGGGTATCGTTCAGTGTCTTTTGTATCATTTGTATCACGCCATTTGATGATCGCACTCGTCCGCAACACCAAGAACTTTCCACTTACAAAAACATCAAGAGGAAAAAAGAGAAAGACGGAAAGAAGGGTTGTCGAGAAGCTCCCTTATTGCCTAAACAGCAACAAAAAGTCTGTATCTTCTGCAATTTACAAAATAATTCTTTTCTCTTTTGCTAACGTGCCCATAATAATGAAATGCGAAGAAACAAATAAAAAGTCGTAGATATCAAAAACAACCCGTGGAAACGAAAAAGCGCCAGTAAGCAGCGGAGCAGGCAAAAATGTTCCCGCTCAATCTTTAAATAACGCATGCGTACTATACGTTCGTGTCTTATATGACATGCGTAATCGCGAAGGTCAGTTATACCAAGTTTTTCTCGTCTTAGCCAAGACGCATCCTGACACAAGTCAGTAAGCAGATGATCTCGGTATTTGTTAGCTAGGTTCTCGAGCATGCTAAAGAGGCTGTCCGTTTAAGAACAGACCACTCGAATTTCGCCCTGAAATTCATAGAATTTCTTCAAAAAGGTTTCACATTTCCGTGGCTTTGGTTCCCAAGGGGGGTCCAATTCTCAACAATACTCGCCTTTTTAATGAACCAAATCAAGAATTTCGGTGAAAGCTCTCAATAACTATGCAAAAATCAAATTACTTTTAAAAAATTATTCATGTTAACTAGCCTTGCTGCATATCCTTGCCGAGGCAGTCGCTGATTCCTCCAATTACGTTTGGGCAAGGAACATCAGACATCAGATATCGGACGTAAGACATCTGACGTCAGACACTAGACTTTATACATCCGACATCAGACATCGCACATCAGACACCAGACATTAGTAAAATCCAACTAGTGGTCTATTATCAATGCTTCGTTCTGATTGGTTGAGCTACTACTAGGCTATATGTTATAGCCCACTAGCAGCTAAAAGCACCAGCTTTTTGGTGGCAAAAAAGGGTTAGACTGTTCACAGTGCTCTATTTTTCCGTAAGATTGTCAAGATCGAGCGCTTTCCGTTACGGGCTGCCACCTTGCATGAGTGTCAAAACTACTCAAGGGGCGGGGGCAGTTTGGGAGGAAGCGAGAGAAATAGCCTAAATGGAAAAATGCTGTATTTTTCTCACCCCCTCCCCCTAGAGCTATAATCCCCGACGCCCGTCCCCTCGGTACATTCGAAAATCAAGATAGCCATCATTAACGGTAATAGACGCGCTATATCTCAAAGATCTCACGAAAAAATAGGGGACTGTGAACAGTCTAAAAAAGAATTTAAGTCTAGCTTTAACTAGCTAAAGTTGTTTTGTCTCGATATTTTTTACCAACTAGTTAGATTTTACTAAAAAAGTTATTCCTCTCGCCCTTATGGCCTCTGGGTGAATAGACAATGAGACCGAAGGCCTCATGGGCTATTGACTCAGAGCCCATTCGGGCTCGAGGAATAATTGTTAAATAGATATCGGACATCGGAGATCAGACAGACATCAGATATCGGGCATAAGACATCAGACATCAGACGCTACACCTCAGACATCAGACATCGAACATCAGAGACCAGACATCAGATATCAGACATCAGACATCGAACATCAGATATCAGACATCAGGCGTCAGACATCAGACATCAGACATCAGACTTCAGACATCGAACATCAGACATCAGACATCAGACGTCAGACATCAGACATCAGACTTCAGACATCGGACATCGGAGATCAGACATCAGACATTGGACATCGGAGATCAGACATCAGACATCAGACACCGGACATCAGACATCGGACACCGGACATCAGACATCGGACATCAGATCAGACAGCAGACATCGGAGGTCAGAAATTAAACATCGCGCATCGGAATTCGGAAATTCGGGTTTGGACATCGGACATTAGTCATCAGACATCAGACTTCAAGTATCGGACATCAGACATTGGACATCGAAAATCGGACATCAGACACAGAACATCAGATCAGACATTGGACGTCGGACATTGGACATCGGACGTCAGACATTGGACATTGTTCCAAGGCCTTTGGTTGAGACTTTTATGTATCGTGAACAAACCTATTGTAAATATTAATTAAGGACATTTTTTCAGGCTGTAGTGGTCTTGAGAGAGCTAAAAACTCAAATTGAAAGACGGTTTTAGATAAGAAAAATCTCTTTCCTGTAAAGAAAAGGTTTTAATCGTCAACTATATAAATAAACAGCCAATGTATTAACATTTAACCATAGTAGAAGTCACTAAGAGAGCAAAAGGCCCTCTAAAAAGCGAACAAATAACCTTTGCCGACAAAATTTTTTCGGAAAATCCCACTCTAAATTGTGCAAATTCAATTGTTATTAGCAGAACTAATGACAGCTATTTCTTTTCGTGTGCAAACTAATAATTTTCGAATTGTGTCAATTTTTATTTATAGGGCGATCTTTGGCTAGCCTGAATTTCAGACGATTACTTTAGTCGTCCCCTCAGTCAGTAATGAGGGAGTAAAAACAAGTCGAAGTAATTGTCTTAAATTCAAGCTAAGCTTTGGCTTAGTCAGTTTTTGCTTAAAATAGAGCAGCATTGAAAATTTAAAGAAAATTTTGAGGTGGCTGTGAATCTGCTCCCAGATCGTTTTGAGAAATTCCCAATAATTTATATCATAGAAGTAAAAAATAGTTTTAAAAAGATTGCTTATAAAAAATTAGGGGCCCCGACATCTTTTTTAATTAAACTGCAATTAGAATTGAGAGTATAAGTGATGTTTGAAAGGTTGTGCTAACTTGTTACGACAAAAAAATGACCAAAAACTTACCCACCGAATATAATGTTGTTGATGTTTTTTGTGTCTTTTATAATGGCATCAAATTAAAAAGAAGGGTTATTTTGGCTCATTAGAGGAGAGAACTGTTGGGAAGACTTACGAAGGTACGTTACAGTGCTTCAAACTTTTATGTTAGGGAAAACCTTAGTGTCACAAAGAGGAGTTTTCCCTGTCTTTTATCAATAAACGTCGGCTAAAGGCAACTTCGCGCAACTTTCCAACCAATGGCGCAAATGTAACACTAAACGGATTTCCTGGGGGAGTACTCAACAAAGTTTTTTGCGGGGAGGCTCCGCCCCAAGGTCTAAACTTTACATACCACTTATGACACAAAAGTAGGTCCTTCGTATACTTTCTATTGACAAAGGGTATCCCTTCCCTAGTTTATAACTTTACATCCCTCTTGACTCTTCTAGATGTACTGTCTTTAAGATATGAAACTCCTCGTAGAGGGCATTATAAGCCGAGGAATACCCCCGGGTAAAATTAGTGCTGTTTGCAAACACGAGTACTAGCAATTTCAGTGTTTAATTAACAAACCTTTCAAAAGTGACAAGTCATTAAATGCAGAACATTTGTCTTCTTTAAATAGCCCAAACACGTGAGTAAACATAGATGTACACTTTTTTTCTTAAATCGCCGTGGAGTTAGATTTAAAGAGTTTTTCTCAAGTTGCCAAGGTCGCCGTATCTGATCTTTCACTTGATACCTTTTCAGGCAATGCGTCTTATTACGAATAACTCGGAGACCATCTGTAAGTATGAGTACCGTTTGTCTAACAACAGATGTTTGTGACCCCCCGCTTAACTTTTGCTTCAGATAATCAAAAAACTTAGGAAACGATGTATTGTTTTACGAAAAGAGGAATAACCCTTTGAGAGTGGTTTTCCGAGTATCATTCAACAAGCACGTTCGTCTGACAACTTTGCTTTGCAAGTGGCTAGTTCCAGTCAATATATAAGTTAATTTATCTCAGAAATCTTTATGGGAAACCTCAACTATTAGTCAGCTTTCTAGTGAATTAGTAACATCCGTGTGGAGATCAAGATATCCTCACACCAACAAGAAATATATCACTAATGAATGCTATTCATTAATGTTCAATGCTATGTATTAGTTAGCACACGTTTAGCCCCTGTTGTAGCCTATGAAAACCACACGGTCGGTTTCCTCAACAACGAATTCAATTTCCTTTCACTTCAAAACGATTAAGTAACAGTAAAATTTGAAAAGCCTTTTTTTTTTGTAAGAAAGCTTTGTTGAAGGTGAAGGCGAACAGCTTTTCACCATCTTGGTTTATTGGGGATGCGAGAACAC